TATTTACTTTCAGTTTTTATCCCCATTGCATGTGGGGACTTCGCACGTGCTGTGCACACTTTACCCCTGAGCTACATGCCCACCCCCTTGCCTTTTAATATACTAAAAATGTACATATTTATTATGTATTTCAGTGTACCTGCATCCTCCTTACAGGTTCTAGGCAGAGACCCGACTGATGTATATATTTTTATGTCCTGTATACACAGAACAGTACTTCTCAAGGAGAAATCCACAAACTTTAGAATTTTGTGAAAACTTTTGAGGCTATATACAAACTCAAAATTTTCTCACAGCAATACTGAGACTTTCTTTTTCGTACTATGGTGACATCAGTCCTGACGGAGTGGAGCCAGTGGTGCATGACACAGCTGATGCTGTAGTGTGAATCAACGCAGTGGCACCAGACTGTACTCGCAGTCACTGTGCACTTCGCTGCTACCCACTCATGGGCGGTGGGGACCATTTTGCATAAGAATATTCTTTGCAAGATGGTAAAAGTTAATTTTATGAAATACTCATTATGGAGTGTTTCTTTTTTAATGTCCTGTGGAAACATACATGCTTCTGTGGCAACCCCAAATTTTTTTGTCTCCAGGAAAAGAGCTCGTGTGATTGTTTGAGTTACTATGAAACATCGTATTTACTTGAAATAGTGACTGTGGGACAAATAATACTTTCTGCTTCAGAGTATTTGGCAGGCATTTGCCCCCCAAAATGAAGTGAGCCTGTCATTTTAAGGAAAACAGCTAATAGTATTTGTTGTCTATGACAGACTTCAACTTTTTTTAAAAAATGTATTTTAGTATAGGGTCTACAGAGTATCACTACACAGATTGGACTTGTAGTAATTCTCCTGTTTGCAGCTTCCAAAGCACAGGGATTATAGGTGCATGCCACCATGCCCAGTCTCACTTTAGTCCACTCAGTTATCTGGCCGGCCAATTTCAAGTGAATGTTCAGTTTGGAAAATTTATTTCCATCTCTGTGAACTTTACAGCTTCTTAATACTTAAAAGACTTTCCTAGTGAGCAGGGTGCTGATACGTATAAAAGTAATGTGCTTGTGATTTTAATATCTTATAATGAGATAGATCAATATTTGGAAGAAAGATATAACAAGGTTAGGACTCAGTTAGGTATATAGCCTATATTATACCTTTTCCTGCAAAAAGGCAACCTCTCTTAAAATTTTTCTTTGTATAATATACATATTATACAGTCACATTTGCAAAATGACAGGGTGCTGCTAATATAAAATATTAGAAGTAATAACCTTAGTGCCCACGTGATGCTGTGACATTCACATTGGCATCAGATGTCAAGAGCTGAAAGTGTAGACCATTAAAATCCATATGAGAGTAATCTACTATTGTATGTGCGCCTGAAGGGTGAAAAGCGTAGAAAGGATGAACACAAGTAGAAGAAAGACATAGATTTATAACATTAAATTATAAAATAAGAAAGTGCACTTTGGAAATGAAACTCATGGCAAGCTTTGCTTTACAAATGGAATAGCAGCTGCACAGATGGCCATAGGAGATTGGAAGATGTCATCTTATGTTACCTTCCTTTTACATCTTAATGAGTTCCTTCTTTTGCTTTCTTGATACTAAAAGTGTTATTAAACTTTACAATAGGATATTTAACATTCTTTTCCCAAATGTGTAAGAGAAAAACAATTTGGATCAAGTTAAAGAAAAAAATAAAGGGTTTTGTTCTCTGAATGGGGAAAAAGTAGCCTATGACAAGAGAGTTTGCTAAGTGTCTCCTTTACTTTTCTCTCAGTGCTGGGACAAAATACTTCACACCCAAAATTAGTCAGTTTATTTAGCTCAAAGTCTGTGAAGGTTTCAGTCCATGATCAGCTGGCTCCGAGGCAGCTGGCATGGCAGAGGGCAGTAGTTCACAGCTGCAGAAAACAGCAAAACAGCAAGAGCAACAAGGGAGGAGCAGTAGCAGGGAGCAAGCCTTCTTCTTTCCTTCCCTTATAATGCACTTAAGCTGTCCACCCCAGGGCAGGTGTAACACCCACACCCATAATCGCAGCATTGGACCATGAATTAATGACAAACTCTTGAAGCCACCCCATGACTGTGTGAGCCTTTGGCAGGACATTAGACACAAATCACCACAGCAAGAATACTGTGTGTGCACCCCTGGGTAGGGGGATGGTGGTGAATTGAGCATGTGCTGACACAGGTGTGAATGGCAGGGTTCTCAGAGGAGCGTCTACCAGCCTCACTTTCTCCAGACCAACTTATCTGCTCTGGGTGTCTGCATCACCTTGGCCTAAAGGAATCAACATGACCAGTGTACGTAGGCCAGATTGTGACTTTTATGGGGAGGATGTGGGTCCTCTGGCAGCGTACTAAGACTCCAAGCAACTTGAGTTCCTTGGAGTTTTGTACTGAAATAAGAATTTGACTTTGAGTCAAAAGTCAGAAAAATAAGTAAGCTAGTTTGCCCAGTAAATCTCTGTTTCCTTTTCCCCCCTCAATGTTTAGAAGAATAAATATAAAGAAATGACTATCAAAATGTTGTCTCATGAAGCTATGTCACAGTCACCTGGGGATTGTGTTCAGAATGCAGATTTCTGGATCCTAATCCAATTGGCTAGATCAGCCTTTGAGAAATAGGGTTTAAAATCTACCTTTAGAAGAAACTCTCTGAGAACTGGGCATGGTGTTACACGCCTGTGATCCTAGCACTGGGGAGATTGAGACAGGAAGATCACTGTGAGTTTGAGACCAGCCTGGGGACTACAAAAGTGAGTACAAGGCCAGCCCAAAGTGCATAGAAAGACCCTATTAAAA